GAAAATATGTGTAAAATATATTAAACAAAAAGAAGAAATTAAAAAAATAAACAAAAAGAGAGAAAAATAAAAACGAGAGAAAATAAAAAAAAATAAAAAAAGAAAAGAGAAAGGAATGTGAGATCATGGGATCATGGAAGAATGTGTGAGAAAAAGAAAAAGTAAGAGAGAGAAGTAGGAAAATAGAAAATGTACATGTAGAATATTTTTTGAAAAATATATCTCAACCTTTGTTTTATAAATTGAATAGATCTGAGTCGTTCAAATGTTATAGTAGGACAAATGTGCGTAGGACAAATTCAAAAATCATCCTATTTTATTATATATATATATTTTTGAGAGAGAGAAGAGAGAGAGAGAGAGAGAGAGAGAGAGAGAGAGAGAGAGAGAGAGAGAATAAGAGAGCCCTCGAAGATTTGTGGACGTTATTTGCCTCGTAATAGCTGAAGAAGATACAGCGATTGATTGGAACAAAACCTAACTTCGATCATCATCCGTAGATCATCATCAACCTGAAAAAAGTGAAACAAAGAGAAAAAGTTTTAGATACAGAGGAAAGTTGGGGAGGCAGGTGTTTTTGGTGGTTCTGGAAGAATAACAGAGAAGGAGAGAGATAAAGAGGAAATGAGGAGACGTGTAGCAGAGAGGGAGAGAGATGAAGACGGAATGGGGGAGGAGACGTGGGTAAGTGGGAGAGGGAGAGAGCACAGAGTGTTTGGGCGGGAATGAAAATCATCTCAGCCATAGATGTTTATTAGAATTGATCTGAGCCATTTAAATGAAATGTATCTCACATACATTTTATACATTTTCAAAATCCTTCTTGCCTTATTATATAGATATATGGTTATGTAAAATATTATCCAATTCTTTAAAATCGTATGCTTTATTCGTTAATTACAAATTAGATTTTAAAATTTATAATTTGTTTTTGAAACAGTTCCACATTTGTTATAATTAATATATATATATATATATATATATTTTAATTCCTAATAAAATATTAAAATAAAAATAAGTGTGAAAGAAATTTATGATATGAAATTTATTACAAATTAATAGTTATATATATGAAAAATATTATGTAAAATTAATTTATGTTATACATATATAAAAAATATTATGCAAATTAGTGTTATATATTATGCAAATACATGATAATTGGATAGAATATTTTTCAATCTATTAATCCGTCCAAAATCGCTCAAATCACAATTTACTGATCCGCCAATTTGCTAATCCATCATTCAATTTATAATTTTACTCTAAACAATCCGAATCGCACCGCGCACCCTGCATATATCTATTATCTACTACTATTATAAAAGTGTGAATGTTTTTTACTTTTTTTTTTAAATCTCAATTTTACCTTTTTAAATTTATTATATTTTTTAAAAGTCATGAAGAGTCTAATATAAACCAATTATTTCTTTATTTTTGGAATTGAACACTCAAAACTAATATATCTGCTTTCAAGTCCTATATAAATATAAATAAATTGTCTTCCTTATTATCAAAAAAGAAAAAATCGTCTTCCTATTTTTTAAATTGATGATGATTAAAGAACAAAAAATAGTTACTCTTTCTTATTTCCCGTGTCTGTTTCTATATTGATATACATAATATTTACAATTGTCCATCATGGATCAAATGATTGTGGATAATTTTGGTTAAATCTTAAAATTGTATGCATTCATTTTTAAAACAAAGATTTATACTGCATCTCAAAATTTCGCAAGCATCTTCATACACTTTCTTTTTATTTAAATTATATTTTATGAACTATAATATTTTATATGGTGCTTTAATAACCAATGTATGATGTCAAAATTCTAAACAAGAATCACATTTGTTGGTTTTATTTTTTAAATCTATTTTTAAATTTTTGATTTTTCATATATTTTCTCAGTTTCGGTGATTAAAGATTGTTAAGTTTTTGTAATTGACAATCTCATTTGACAAAATTCCTTTCAATTGTAATTTTATCTGCTCTTATATTTCAATGAGGATGCGAATGTTTAGATGCTCAACCCAAATTGTGCCTATTCAATGGAGTTTGTGATCTTGATTCTTTCATATTTGTCATTTTGTTGACTACAAAAACAAAAATGTTGTCAAAATTATTTGACTGCTCGAGTGATCATTTGTGCACTCAAGCAGAGAAAATCATCATCCAGTACTTTTGTAGAGAGCCTGAACTTCTGAGAAGCAAGTTTTACCACTCGAGTGATGAAAGTTGCACTCAAGCAGTCAGCCTATATGTTTTGCATTGCCTTCACTCACATCGCTCGAGCAATGAAGTGTGTGTTCGAGCGACCTTCGCGATTCAGTTTACTATAAAAGTGCGCAAATTGTTGGTTTTAAGGTTTAAGTCATCTAGAATTTTAAAGAGAAAGAAAAAATAAAGAGTTTTCTATTGGAGGCTATTTTATATGAGTCTTCTTAGTGTATAGAAGGTGATTGATTGATCAACGAATTACAAATTATCAAACATCAAGGGTAATTCTTATTATTTCGTTCACAAAAGAGAGAGTTGTTTTT